TTCAGCAGCTTAACGAGTGCCAAACATACAGTGCCATTAATTGGGAGAGAGAGAGGAGGAAAAAATACCCAGGGAGGAGGGAAGATGCCACCGGCCTCCTGAGCAGCACAGCACCGAGTTGTCCATTGGCACGGCCTTCACCGAGGAACCGAACTAGCAAAAGAAAATGAGATGGGCAGGCTGAGGAGCCAGAGGAAGATCTCAGACCCAAGACACCGTTCTTCACTGTGAAAAGCTGTTTCGCCCACCTGCTGAGTGCCGAGGCGGATGGAGGCCAACCCTCGCACCGCCAAACACCCCGCTGTACCGCCAGCACAGCTGGACACCTGGCTGAGCCCAGCAAAGGGGTGGTGGGCACCCATCCCGTGTGCGCTGGCTCTTCCTAAAACACCGATGGCTTTGGGTGCACACCCGGCGGGGAAGAAGCTGAACAAGGCTGATTAATAATAAAAATACTTGTCTTTTTTAAAATTTATTTTTAGTTCAAAGTGAATCACAACTTCCTGCCCCTCCCTCTCCCCTCCTGTGAAGACATAAGTACCTCCAGATCAACGTCTTGTCTTTTTTTTTCTTTAAGCATCAAGAGCGTAACACATTTCAACTGCTGCTAACACAGGTTTTACAGCGATGATTTTGTCAGAGATTGTTTATGCAGCTCCTTAAAGAGCAAAAAGGAAAACTCCCACATACAAATGCAGATAAACTTTTGGAATGTGAACATGTAATATACATAATTACTGCATTATCAAAAGTATCACGCATTTATCAAAACAGCTGAACATGACACTTTCCAAGACATATTTGATAAGGCCCAATCATAATTTGAAGGGACATTGTATACCCCATAAGGGTAACTGTATAACCCTACTAAGATAATCACTCCTGCCATAACTTACAGATGTGTTTGACAATATTGATGCCAAAAAAAAGGGTTTTGTTTAATTTTACCCATGCTCTGCTGATTTTTGATACTTGGCTTAATTGACTCAATACATTCTACAAAGGTATGTAAACAGTCCTGATTTAAATGAAATCAACAGATCCGGACTGGTCAATGTTAATGTCTTCATTAACTCAGATACCATATTTATCCCTGAGCACCTTAAAATCGTTCCCCCAAATCTCACTGAAGAACATGTAACTATTTCACAAGAATGTAAAACTGCATTTGGATAAGTCTGTGTCTTACAAGTCCCATTTTCCTTCACTGGTTTAAAATAAAAAACCACCAAATGAAAAAATATGTCCCCTCCCCTTTGTTTTTTACATGTACTGCAATACCTTAAAAAAAAAAAAAATTCACCCTATCAAACAACATCACCTACAGACACACTACAGACTACAAAAATATTGCATAGGAGTGTCAGTGAGCATAGTCTCACAACATGAGAGAAAATGCTAAGTTTTTTTTTAAAACATTATGGCAACATTCTAATTTATTTTCCTTTTAAAAATCAAGTGGTTTCACTTTATTTCAAAATTGTACAAAATGGCCATGGCTGTTTATAAAAAAAAGTCTCTGTCTTGAGAATATGTGAAGTCTCAGGTGCATTAACAAAAGACCTGGAACCATTCACAGTGCAGCGGAAAGCTTCTTTTGAGGCAGAAACTACAATTCATCCTTCTTCTTTCCTACTCTTTCATGGTCTCTTTCTCTCAGGGTTCGCATGAAAGTGGTGAATCCAGACTCCTGGTTTTGAAGAAAGAAAAAATATGGGTCATATCTTTGTAAACAAACTAAAACAATGCTCAAGAACACTTTTAGCTTCTGTATCCTATGGTAGAATATAAACTAAGGAACAGTTACTGCTTCTGCGTTGCCCTGTTGTGCAGTGCTCTGGTCCAGTGCTGCTCCACTGCAATGCAAGGGGGAAATACCCACACAGATGCCACACGTCAAACTTTGAGGAGATGGGACACAGAGAAAAAGGCCCTAAAACTCACAGGACAAAGTAAGATCTGTTCCAAGAATTATTTTTTTTTTTTGTCAAAAAAGCTCAAGGACATTTTCATGCCACATTTGTATGCTACATGTGTCATTCTGAAAGGAGTTAGTAGATCATTTGTTGGCTATGCACACATTTGCCACCGTTCCTCATCCCTTAAGTTTTTCTCATCATCTTCCTCCTTTTCCACATATTCAGATGATGGGAATTACATTTTTTTCAAGTTACTATCAAAATTATTGTCAATTTAAAACCTGGATGCCTAGATGTCAACCTCTGTATTTCAACAACTTAGGATTTCTGATTATCTAAGCCTGTTGGATGCCAGCACTTTGCTTTTCCAAGGAAAGCTCTGAACACAACTCGCAGGCATTTCAGAAGGCTCAGAGAGGTGGAGGCGTGAGCACCCTGCCTACTGGTACACCAACACTACCGTTGTCTGACCAAGTAATACTGATCCCACCCAATGTGACTGTTTTTACTTTTAAGCAACCTTGAAACGCACCAGTCAAAACTGGTGATAAAGAGGGAAAATACAAAGAGGTAGAGAACAACAAATAGAAGTCAAAGTTTGACTTGAAAAAACCAAACCGAAACAAATAAAATAAAACAAAACCAAACCCCAAAGCTGGGAAGCTTTTGAAAAGGCTGAACAACAAAACCCTTCTAAAACTATTCCCTATTCTTCCACTGAAAAAAGAATAAAGTGACAAGTTTTGGCCATACATCATCTGGAGACATCTGGCAATCAATAGCCCCCATGAAAAAAAGCCCCCAGTTACCAATGCTGTCTACCTGGAAGTCATTTAAAGTACAGTTGGGTCAGAGGGTGTCCTGACTCTTCCTTGTTCAAGTTGCTTGGGGTGAAATGCCCTAAAATCTCTACTCTGGAACTGCAACTGCCTTGGAGGTGTGGAGGACCCCTGACAGGCTGCTGCTGAGGGACATGCTCTTCCCCACAGCCAGTGCTCCAGCGTGGCGTGGCAAGGGGCTCAGAGCTCCTGCTCTACTGGCCATGGCTCCTGCTGCAGCATGCCATGTTGCTCCCATGGCGGCTGACATCGCCTCTCTTCTTCCCTGCCCACATGAAATGATGATATACCGGCTGGACCACACTGAACTAAATGCTCATGGACATCTACTGATTTAGTGCCAGAACTGGGAACAGAAAACAGGTCCCCTGGCTCCCACTGCTCTGTCATGAGATTTCTTTTGCAAAGTAGGAGGTGGTTGGCCAAGACATTTCAAAAGATGTTGTCATGCTGATGAGAAGTCCTTTAACAACGCAATCCCTTGTTACAGATTTGTGAACAGACCTGGAAGGCACTGTGCTAAGCACTGCCTCCCGCGTTACCATGACAGGAGATAACAAAACCTACTTTGATGCTGCACAAGCAGAAGACCATTCTTGGTCCCAGAAGAGGTGGAGGGGGAACACAGTTGCCAGCAACAGAGAGATTGCAATGTTCCTGTTGGGTAATTTCATTCTACCCAAGAAAGGGTTGACCGCACATAGGGAATTAGTCCACTTTCCAGCACAGGGATAATCATCTCCCAATTGCTGTGGCCTCAGAGCACTCCTGTCTTGCTAAATTCTTTTTATCAGCCACCACAGATACTTCCTTTCATGTATCATTTCTGTAAGTATGGGTTAGAAACACAAAAATTGCGGCTGAAATTTTACTTAATTGTTGGCTACTGCACCCATCTTTACTTTTAAGAAAAAATCCACAATCAGAACTAAACACAGTATCCATAACAACGCCTGGATCAGCACCATAAAATGATAATTACTGGGGTCCTAATGCTGGAGAAAACTGGGAGGCGAAGCTCCATGAAGACTTCCCTGAGATCCTGACTGACAAAGAACCTCAGAATTTGTTTTTTTTCTTCATGCTTCTCTATAATTTGGTGAGCTGTAATAGCAGCAATAACATCCAGGCAAGGCTCTTTTTTCAAAATCACTGGATGGCTTGAAGAGCCCAAGTTTTTCTCGCAGACCCTAGCTTCTCCAGGCAATCAATCACTGCTGAGGAGTAACCTCCATCTAGGAGGTTACGACAAAGACCACACACAAATAATTGGATTGCTCCCTTACTTTCAGGCACTTTACAACCACGGAAGGCATTATGCCATTTCTGCCCCTTGTACTCATAGCATAGAGTTAGCTGTCCACAGCACGACAAAAGCATGAAACTTTAGCCCATGGGCTAGATGGCACAATTGGTCTTTCTATCTGGAGCTCCAGGAGAGAATCTGACTGAGAATGAGATATTTAGTTTCCCCCAGTCTCCAAAGGATAGCTTTGTCCCTGCTATAAAACCAATGGTCTATCACCATTTGGCAGCCTGGTGGACCCGTAACACGTTTGCAGTGTATGCATGATCCAGATCCAGAACTGACAGGAGTAAGATCTGTATTTTCTGGCATTTCTGCACCTAGCGGCAGCCCATGCAATAAACCCTTCACTTTCACCCAGTCCGAATTCACTCGCAGACTTCAGCTTAAAGAATAAAATATACAACAAAACATTACCAAATCTACCCATTTTTTTCCTCTTCTCACATTCCTAAAATAGACCAAGTATGTTCCTAAAGCAGAGATGTACAGGGGTGTGGTACACAATGATTCACCCATGTAAGACAGCAACTGCAGCAGCTAAACATCCTTTCAGCACGATAAAAATTTACCCCACAGTTTTCATTTGCCAGGCAGTACAGGCAGAGGAGACATTCCTCCCTCTATCAGGCGATGACTCTTGCTTTCACTTACCCCTCTTTCTCCAGTATATTTCTCCACAAATTTCCCGTAGTTGTAATAGTTGAAGGTGGGGTAACCATCAACCCCCTCCTGCTTACACAGGTCATGATTCTGTTCTTTGGCACAGTCCACTGCAGCATAGGCGATCTGAAACACAAGAGATCAGCATGAGGCAGGAGAAGACAAAGCAAGGCTCCGCTTCATGGTTACGCTGCTGCAGCTTAGACTTAACACTAGGAGAGACCCAAGTCTTCTGCCAAAACTGCAACGGCTTTTGTAACAGCTCAGCTGTGGAGGAAGACGAGAGGGTGGTCATCAGGTCAAGCCACACGAATGGAAGAGCAGAAGCCTGCTGCCTCCCGATGAAAGGGTGCACTGCTCGCACAGCACCTGGCCTGTGCAGCTGCAAGGCGTGTTCAGCTCACAGAGCAGAAAATCACCTTCCTAGCCTCCCCGTTGAGCACTGCGTTAGACTCCAAACGGGAGAGCTGTGTTAGTAAAACCAAATCCAAGCACGGCAGTCACAGCACTTTCCTGTACTTTGGTTTTAAGTGATGAACAGTGTCAGGGTGAATTTGGTAATGGTAACGACCCACCCAACCCAACCTCCTTCCTGTGGCATGGCTAACGCTTGGAAAAGTTACCTCTTCTGTTCTTGGACAAACGTGGCTGGTAACTTTTGCAGGCTATTAATAGATTAATGATTTCTACCCCAAGGAGCTTTTGTAAACTCCATTCAGTTCTCCCAAGGTCAAACAGCAAGGGGTGAGAGGACAAAGCACTATCTACCAAGTAACACACATAGAGAAAAAAGTTGCTTGCTTGCAATCTCAGCCTAGGTTTATGTTTCCTTTCCTGTCTTTTTTCAGTCTATCCTTTAAGGTAGGGACTGTATGTTATGAACAGCCATTAGCAAAGTGGGCTTTAATTCCTTTCGAAACCTCTAGATGCTACTGTCACACAAACAAACCCGGAGTAGGAAGCAGCCCGCCATGCTCTCAGCCTGTTGGCAGCAGAGCAACACCCTCCGTCCCTGCCTGTTTCAGCACAGGCAGAGCGAGGAAGCGCAACCTCGCAGCCTCAGAGCATCGGCTGAGGCTAACCCTAGTTTAGAGCATTTGACATTTGAAACCTCAATCTGTAAGTACTGAGGAGGGGCTGCACTTAACATTTCTGATATTGCAACAAAATGCATTTCATAGGCTTCTACTTAAAGCAGCTGAGCCCTCCGCTGTGATTTCACACCCATTTGGGCGGGCTCTGGGCGCACACTGCTGCTCACGCTGGCTTGTCTTCACGGCCCCGCTACATGCCCTGCTGAAGAGCAAGCAGAGGTTGAAGTACAAGCGACATAAAAAACCCAAACAAATTAGAGGAACGATTTTTGCAATTGTGGGTTACAATGTATCAAGTGCTAATTTCACAGCAGACGCATTGTAACTTGAAATTTCTGTTCCAGGAGGCTCCTTTAAACAATCTGATCAAAATACCTTTTGCTTGCATGACTTTAGGGTTGCAGTTGAACTGTTCTTCCATAATTAAAAGATCACTTAATATTCCACAATGCCCTCCAGTTTCATGGTGACACTGTCAAAACGAGAAAACCCAATCTCATTATCCTAGCAGTAATTAAAGGGATTGGCAAAGCCAACTTCAGTTAATTTGCTTGTTTTGTTTTGGCTTTGAAAGCCTGACAAGACAATACTCAGTGAGATCTCACTTGGGTCTATCTTCAGATGGAAAGCACAGTATGAAGTTAGCAGTGTTCTTACCTTAAATATTTGGTTTCTGTTTTCCCATTTTAAACATTAATAAGGCTATTACAGAAACAGGACTCTTGGGAGCTGTTAAAAACATGTATGATCACACTTTTTTTTTTTCCTTTTCATAAACAGAAAGACTCCTACTCATTCAGGGCCAGTTAAAACGAAAGGTTAGGAATAATACACTGCAGAAGAATTTCATCTAAGTATTTATGCCTTCCTGACCTTAGCAGTCAGCCACAATTTAGAGCTCTGTTGGCTACCTCTGTGTAAAGGAAAGCTTACAATGGAGACAAACATTTATTTCATGTCAGAGTATTAATGTAGAAAGAATACTGGAAGTCCTGGTTCTCTGAAAACAGGAAGAATAAATAAAACTCTTTTTCCCTCAGTGCTCTAAATATCACAGAGGGAGAGATTACAGCCAGAAAAAAGGGGAAGGTATATGTGTACTCATCCAGATCTTCGTAGCTGGTCTGAGGCATGAAACTGTTGTGACTGATTACCCATCTGTTCTTAGATAGTGTCTTGGAGATTAAGAAAATTAGGTTTTAGTACACTGAAAGGCAAAGAAACCCTCTTTATCTGTATCTCTCTGGAAACATCTAGACTGGCTTTGGTTGGAGCAAAGAGCCCAATTTCCTTTACAAAAGGCTTTTGTGAGAATAGTGTGAGTGAGGAGAAGGTGCAGTGGAGAAATGCAATGCTGTAAGTCACTGTTAACCTTGTTCAGCACATCTTTACTTGTTGCCTCAAAACAGGTAACCGATGAACTATAAGAAGGTGGCTTCCGGAAGAAATGCTTAGTAGTCTGCTTAAGATACAGCTCTCCTCTACAGCACATGGAAATCTAAGCTGGTCCATCTGTCCATTTGTTGTGCACTGAAATAATGCACAAAGATCCCAGTCTAAGTCTGGCCACAACAGTCACATTAGCCTAATGCTATGCCTTATCTAACAGGTCTAATGCTGAGGGACACGTACATCTGGAGTAGCATTTGGAGGACATGTCCATGGTCTGTCATTCTCTGAAATACTCCTGATGCAAGCTCCCACACAGTCACACGGACTCGCCGCTGCTCCTGCAAATGTCATTTTGAGCCCAGCTCTTCTGAACATACGTTCCCGTTCAGTTATTTTTACATCCAGTGAGAGAAGAGAATTTTCAAGGCAATTTTCAAAAGCCTTGTAACTCATACAGACCTGAGCAAAATTTCATAGAGACACATCTAATTCCCAAGACCGTATCCGAGGCTGCATTTCAAATGCCTGCTGCCAACAGTAGCTGAGTAAGAGTACTTAGGAGAGCCTGAGTGATTACTTTAGAGTGGAAAAGTTAAGGCAGCCTAAATATAGAGGTTGCTACCATCTCTATGCACTCATTACCATAGCATCACAGTCCTAATTGTCTTGCCTGTCTCACAGCAGAAAATCAAATACAGTGCACTGCAAGAAGAGAAAAGTAATGCTGAAAAACACTTGTAGCAAAACACACTTCTGGACTGAGGACCAATTCCAATCTCAATTCTATCAACTTCAGACAGCTGAACTCCGAGACATACTAGAATTTCAGCAAACAGCACCGATGCCCTTTGCTTCGTTCTGTTTGTGTTTTCATGGACTGTGAATATTAAACTGCATTTCTGGTAGAGGAGTCTCCTACAGCAGCTTTCAGTTAGCGTGAATTACTTCATGACTATACCGAAAGGCTGCACAGAAAAAGATGCAGCCCACAAAAGAAAGGCTTTGCTTGAGTCCTGGCTCAAGTGAGCAGTGATACATTGCAGGGAGGTTTTCCTCTCATTGTCAATCTTTTAGCAACTAGCAGTTTTTCTGCATCACTAAAGAAGGAAACTGAGTCAGAAAAAATAACAACAACAACAAAAAAAACCCCTCTACCAAAATGTGGTTAAAGACTTCTGGAGAATATTACTCTCAGAAATGACCTCCACATTCAACTACCAGCAACAAGTTACATGGAAGTTCACTGGAAAGCACAGGTTAGCAAGACCTGTATGCTTTGCCTTGTAAAAACACTAACTTTATTCAAGCAGAAAGTTCAGACAGATTAAGCATAAGACATCTCTGACATGTATCAAGGAGCCAAGACACTTGGCATCACCTCTCATGAATTCCCTCTCATCAAGAGGGAAAAAACCCTCTACAAATCTGGGAGAGCAAGAAACTCTCCTAACGCTGGTGTAAAACTTAGGGGTATGTGTGTGTACATATATGTCCATTATGGAAAAACCCAGCGTAACAGCTTTCGGAAGACAAGACTGATTTTATGGAGATTTTGACTCTTAGGGCTAAAATTTAGTTTCTTGAGCTTTACTAAGTTTCATTTAACCAGAGGGAAAAATCCACTGGAAAAAACCCTAAGTACCGTATCTGCAACATGCACAAAACTCCACGGGGTTATGGATTCTCCAAAGCTGCGTTGCCTTAGATATTGACAATACATCATTATATACAAGTTCTCTCTCCAGAGGCAATGCTGTTCAGGTTTATCACCATCCTCTTCAGTAGCTGTAGCAGGAATAGAATAGTTATCAAATGAAAAGATAGTCAATCAGAGACTGCGGACCCCAGAGGAAGTTCCTTGGAGTACATCCAGCTTGCTTAATGTTATTGGTAGTTCCTCACAACTGGTATGCAGCTTATAATAATTAATAATACCAGGTTAGCGTGCATAATAATGCATATTAATTATGCATAATAATAAAAATTTAAAAAGAATACCAGATTAGTATGCATTTCTCCTTTATTCCATAGTCCATATAGTTTAACACGACTCTAGCAACATCTGGGACTGGAAATTATCTTTATCGGAAAAAGGAAGTCTCACAGCAACATTTCATGGTCTTACTAAAGAAGTGGGAGCTTAACTACAAAGTTGCAAACTTAACTCCACACAGCATTAGAATGTGAGCAATCTACGACCGGCTCTGAAGAGCTCTTAAAAAAGGAAATAGAGCGTGGCATATTGTTCAGATGAAGTGGTCTGATCACAATCACCGAGCTATTGCAAAAATCGGAACTTTTCATTTAGGTGCTTAAATAGAAGTGGAGCTATGCTGAAAATGTGACCACTGATCTCCGTGTGCCTCAACTGTAACAGAAGGATGATGCCTTGTTTTTTTTACTGCGTAAGTGTTAGAAGGAAAAAGAAGTACTTGCAGTATCATCTAACCATACATCAGGAATCACAGTTCCCTTCCAACAGAATTACAAAACAACTTTTTGCTTTAGAGGGATCTTGCAGGTAAGAAAGACAATTACCTCCAGCGGTTCAAATAGATGTGTAGAAAATTGAAAGTGGGATCCCTTCACCTTCCAGGTAACTCCTGCTTTCTATTCTTAAACCTCTTCCATTTTAACAGTTTGTCTCCCAGTTACCATATGATGATATAGTAAAAATACCCCCTGCAGTTGCTTTCCTGTTAAAATATGTGCTGCCACACACTGGTTTATTGATTCAAGGAAATAAATCTCTGCTGGAGCTAATATTGACTTTTGTTATGAAAATGGAAGTGAATAACTAACTGAATATTGATTTGAGAGAGGAATGATATATGATAAGCTTAAAAAAAATTAAAATAAAAATAAAACTGCAGCATGGAAAAGAATGCTTCCAAGCAACATTTTTAAAGTATAGTAAATTCCAGACAACAATTACCTGATTATTAGGAAAAAAAATCTTTGTTGTTGCCAAATGTCTTAAAAGCACTTATGAATAAGACAGACGTGTATTCTTCTCTATGATTACTCCATAGGTTTCTATTTATATTACCTGTTCTGGATTCTAACAGCAGTTACAAGCCAGCCTGCTAAAGGTTCTTGCAATTCAGCTACTGTTCCCAGTGTGAAAGGCCTTGCAAATGGAAGATTCATTATTAGCTGCCCTGATGTGCCATAGGGGCATTACCATAGCTGCAACTCATCAGCTCTTCTCAAAGCAGGCCTGTTTGCAAAGGGAAGATCCATTAGTAGGTACCATGATGTACAGTGCTAACGTCACCATATTTAATGAGTCTAATTAAAAAGAAATTCAACACATGGTTTTTTTAAGCAAACAGGGATCAAATTCTTGGCCAAACTAAAATATTAATTCATTTGGATAACTCTGTACAGTGATTTGTTTGGTACAATGATTTTAAACCATGGTTCACAATACACATTGGGGACTCACCAGTTTCACTGCTGTCTTGCAGCCCCCCATCAGCACCCCAACTCACCCCATCAGCTGCACCCTTCCCAGCAGTCTCTGCCACAATGATTTCTGTACAAATTCACCAGAACCCAGCTGCAGTGCTCAATTTAGGTCAGTGCCTTTGTACAGGAACAGTCTTCAGTGAAAATGGAGAAGAATGGTCAAAGAGCAGCCCCTTTGGGGGAGTTCCAGACATTTGTTACTGAGAGGCCTTGAGGAGTCAAGAGCTTTCCTTCAGCAAATCCAAGCTGGAGCATCACAAATCAGTTCCTTCAAGCTGAACTTTAGGATCAGCCAAAAGGCAGAATGCAGATTTTTTTGAAGATTTAGCTGGTGCCCTTTCAAGAGTCTCTGGAGTAGTTAGTGAACATGCCTTCCTGCTCTTCAATCTGTTCAGCAAAGTGACAATCCTCACATTTGCATTTTCTGACGTACACTGGTCACTGCCAAAACTTGAGCTGTGGAGCACAGGCCAAAGGCTTTCCCCTGGCAGCTGTACGCAAAGGCCACAGCACCTCAAGGCACGAACGCTTCAGATGGCTTTTTTTTTTTCCTTTTTCTTTTTTTCCTTTAAAATAACTGAAAGCAATATGCTAACTGCTTCACTAGACTAACCTCTCCACTGATCTGGACTTACTGGCACTGAATTTCTCCAGGTACATGGAAAGATGCGGAGGCTCTGGTTTAGGGGCTACACCTGGAGCCGTGTTTTGCAATAGCCACAGCACTGCCCTAGGCAAGCACGCAGGCTCAGGATTTCTGCTAAAACCACCAGCAGTGATGTGGCCAACAAGAACTGACGTTTGGGGCCAATGTTCTGAGCACTGTGTTTTTAAACTCCAACTCTAGCAGTGCAAATGATAAAAAAGTACACGGCATTACACACAGCCCCGGGAGGGGGGGATTCTGTGCCAAAACCACCCCCCTTACAGCAAATCTGCAGAGCCAGCTTCAAGCTCTGCTCATCTTCAAAATTCCAATGTAAAGACTCAAAGTCTCCCAAAGGATGCCTTTTAAGATACCATTTATAACCAATTCAAGGCTGAAATGTTTTTGATTGTTCTTTAGTTTCTGCAGAATTAAATGTTTAATTAAAGGACCACCCTTACTGAAAAGAATGTGCAGTTTAAATGCTACCATACTGTTGAAGTGAAAAAACCTTTCTCCAGGGGAAAAAAAAAACCACTGCTACAGATTAAAAATGAAAATTAGCAATCTTTCCCTGGTTTTGAAAGAAGAAATATTTCCTCCCTCTTAAGCAGTAATTTTACAGAAGTTTGAAACCCTACAGAACTACAAATTAACCAAGGTTTGAAGGCTCAGCCCAGTTTGAAACATGGGAATATGCCCAGTGCTCCTTGTGGGAACAGCCACCATGTCCTTCTGAAGTCTTAAACAGGTTTATTTTGTTTTCCACAAGGGCACAAACTGGCAGCAAGAAGCACCTTGGCAGGTTATGGCTGTACACAATTAAATAGGGGTCCCCAGATAATCCATCCCTGGCACTTTCATAAGTCACTGGGGTGGAATAACGTCTTTTTCCCTAACTGCACGCACCTCTCTGAAACTGTACCAGCCTTAATATTCCCTATTGGCTCTCCTGTTCCAACTCATTACATTTTATACCTCCTCACTTCAGCCTTAAACTGAAGTCAAGAGATGCAATCGTCAATCACTGCTCTGCTCTTGGAGTCCTGCAAGATTCAACCTTCATAAGCTGCCGTCTGAACTGACAGCTTCACAAGCCTGCATTTACCACCACCACCACGTCCGATAAACACCGCCATGATTCAGATTCCTTGTTAACACATCCTCTAATAAGCAAGTTTCACATTGTTTGGCACATTTGCTTCATCTCCTCTGACTGAAATTTTAATGAGTTTAGGAACGAGAGGTTTCGTTGGGAACTACCAGAAAAGTGGGAAAACAAGGAAACTTTCTCAGAGATCTTGGAAACAAATAAGTAACCAAAAGGCATCTGAGCACACAAATTTACAGCAGTAAGAGAACAAAAAGCTGCATGCCTCTAAATCATCTGTGCGCCAGAGGGCATAAGTGATGGACTTCTAATTTTATGCAGTCAGTGATACAAGAATGATTTGTTTCTTGTCAATCTGATGTGAGTTACAGAAAAGATGAGAGGAAAAGAAAAAAAAACCCACGACAAATTCCTGTTATGGTAGCAGGCAGATTAATAGGGGTATAACTGTTACAAAATTACCTCTTCGTTTAGAATAGAATAGAGACTACAATAGAATAGAATATTTCAGTTGGAAGGGACTTACAATGATCATCTAGTCCCACTGCCTAACCACTTCAGGGCTGACCAAAAGTTAAAGTGTGTTGTTAAGGGCATTGTCCAAATGCCTCTTAAACACTGACAGGCTTGGGGCACCGACCACCTCTCTCGGAAGCCTGTTGCAGTGTTTGACCACCCTCTCGGTAAAGAAATGCTTCCTAAGGTCCAGTCTGAACCTCCCTGGCGCAGCTTTGAACCATTCCCACGTGTCCTGTCACTGGATCCCAGGGAGAAGAGCTCAGCACCTCCCTCTCCACATCCCCTCCTCAGGAAGCCGCAGAGACCAATTTCCCTATTAAACTGCCAAATCTTTTCCATGCCACACCTAAACACAAAGCAATCATGAAGTTGGAACAAATTTGGAGATCAGAATGAAATACAGTTCACTCAAATATAATAAGCAGGTTTCTAGCTAGTTAACTGGTTAAATACAGTGGCTCAGGTGTTTGAGGTTTTTTTTTAAATCCCAGATATGCACACATTCAGTTAAAATGGTTCAGCTGATGCAAAGAAATTAACTGGTGTGCTTCAGCCATTAGATGTATTTTCAAGGCAGAAGCACAAGGGTCCTAGAAGGGCCCGACATCCTGGATTCAAGTCAGCCAACTTACAGAAATATATTACATTTATGCTATGCAAGCAAAGATTAGTTATACGATTGAGGTCTTCGGGACTGTCACACAACTTGTGGTTTCTCCACACGCACTCCACTTACAGCTGACAAAAGCTGAAGGGGAATGGAGATGATGTAAATTATCTTCTATTAATCTTTCAATGAGAAAGAATGTGTTTTGCTTCATAGAAAAGAACTCTTACACAAAGAATTAAACAGAAAACACAACAAATTAAGGAAAACAGAATAGGTTAAAAGTGTAACTCAGTTTGACCAAAAAAGATACAACCCCTAAGATGCAATACATTTCTATTAGTGTAACAGCAATTTTATTTACAACCCTACAACCTTATCAATAATCAAAGCCTATAAAATACAAATGGTGGAAAACATTCTTAAAGATCTCAGAAATAATTAACAGCAAGTTACCTTTCGATCGTCTTTAAAGACTTCGGCAGCAGTTGTAAAATGCGGAATGGCATTTTTACAGTGGGGACACCCTGTTTGACACAGGAAGAAAAAAACAACATAAACATTAGTCGTAAATAAGATAGTGGGACAAACTCAAGACACATGGTGAATCAGTGGAAAATTTGTATTAAAAATAATTCTAGACAAGAGTTCTCCAGTTCTGGGAAGAGCAGGACAAGGCCTCTGTAGACCACACGTCAGCTACACGAACTTAAGCACGGGCTCAAAATCCCTCTGCCTTCAAGCAGTTTAAGTGTATACTTACAGTTACACGACATCCTATATAGGGACCATGGTGCCGGGGGGCTTTTCTCTATCACCACTCCCTTAAGAGCATTTTAAGATCGCTAGCCACAAACAGGCAAACCATTTCCCTGCTGCTGTACCTTCTCATGGGTATTACCACATAGGTTACTATGCTGTTGCCACAGACACCAGCTACATTTGGACACGGGAATAAAGACAGTGCAGTTGTGAACAGGAGGTTGGAAGGTGGAAAGGAAGTCGCTGGGAGCATTTAGAAGTGTTTGGGAATTGCCTGTGTTGGACCCAAGCCATCGGGAACACAAAGGAGGGGAAGAGAAGCAAGTCCAAGAGGCTAGGCATCTTTCTTTAGCAGAGGTCCAGTCCCAGGTTAGGATGACTGCTGCTGCCCTTCCTGGAGAGTCTCCTCCCATTCACCACAAGTGAGCAACCCCAGAAGAGTTTTACAGACACACAAGAACGCCACAGCTTTGTGTGGGAGATGGGCTGATACTTGTTTGTACCAATGCAAACGTTTCAGAAGAAGCCACAGAAGGGGAACAAGAACTGCTCTCTTGATTGACGATTCAGATGTGAATGCTCTTAATTCAGAAGCAATGTTTATTGTCTACGATTAATCCAAACTAGTCTCAAAATATCAATACTAAGTAAAGCTTTGCAAAGGAAAGTACCTGCATACGTGTAACAAATTACTTTGTTTCAAATACAGCATAAAGAAGTTGTTCCCAAGCAAAGACACTGAACACTGTTTTTTGCTAAGATGCAACGAAAAAAGGAACGGACACACTTCTGTCAAGCCTGCGTAACGACAGCAAAGGCAAAAGAGTTCATCCTGCTATTTTTTCTGGATAGGAACAGAACACAGACGAGTTGCTCACAAGCTCCAATTACAGCTTATGCTACTGTTGTTTACCAGTATTTTGCAATGATGAACAAGTGGCTGTGTTACTTTCAAGTCAGTTCTGAAGAAATGCCCTCTGAGGAGGCTTGCTGCCACCCTCTCATGAACTGCACTCGCTCCTTTAGCTGACAAGAAAAACAGTATCTGTGCATAAACACTGCACGCGCCTCTCCACAAAGGAAAGGCTGCACACCCCTTTCATCTTCACCAAAAGGCAATTTCATTGCTTACAAGCGCTGCTTTGATTCTTAGAGCATTTTTTTCTTCAGAATAGGATTTTGAAAGCACTGCAATGACACACATGTGTATTAATACACTGAAAGTCTATACAGTAACTAAGAATATGGAAAAGTCAAGGGGACATTTCCTGGGAAAATGAGGCACTTCTGCAAATCCATCTTAATGGCTTCAAACTCTTTACGCAGCACGATGGCAGCTGTGTTTCAGTGGGAGACAGTGCAGGTCCTCTACAGCTTGCAAACTATTAACTTTGTTGAGAAGTTTGGCACTGCCTGGGAGAAAATGGCCAGGAAGAGGAGGAGGTGGTGGTGGAGGCTAAGGCTCCAGGCTGCTCCCGTGTCCATCAGCCCACCTCGGTGACCCATTTTCTCTCTTGCCACTTGCCTGTCCTGTCTACCCGACACTGAAAGGCCTTCAGGTCAGGCCTGTCTCTTGACACATCCTGGATAATGCCCTGTACTGCGGGGTGACTGCCTCGGTTGACTTGTTAACACTGCTCTACACAAATAAATCAGAACTGGTGACAACATCTAAAAAGAATTCCAGAGACAAGAAAACAAGAAAAATCAGGCACTCCTAGCACTCCTAAAACAAGAACACTTGTTCTAGTCTACATGCCTACATGCTGTAGTTTACTCGAAAGCACTTCCAACTGTTACACTAAAACATAAAGGCTCCTAAAAACTTAAACCTTCCAGGTTGCCTTTTCTGCTTATGATTCTTGAGCTTAAAATTTAGATTTCACCAAACAGCAACTTTCAAACCCTCAATAAAAGCTATTTCAAGAGAAATACATGACTTCATGTCTTCTTATTCCCCTCTAACACCTTTATGATACATCAGTCAATGTGTTTCCCACCTCACGGGTGCTGGGTCTGCAGAGGACAGGGCATTTGGTAAAGCCTGTCCCTAAGCCCCCGCTAAAGTTGCAGCACATAAGAGCTCTCCATGAGCTACACTCTTCAAGAAAAGCAGAATACGATTCGACAAATAACAAGCATATTCTTTCAGACACAGAAAAGTCCAATGGTTATTGAAAATGCAAGCTACCATTTTACAGGGGCCAACAGATGGCTGGTAAGAAAACAGCCCAAGTGGCTGTTTAGCCGGTGACTGCTCAGGGAAGCATCAGCAGCTGCTTTATGTCCCTTCCACCCTAGCAAGTAACCACTGTGCATGCTGCTGCAGTGTGCAATAGGTGGCATTGAGAAGGGCTTTGAGCCTGGTTCTCAGAAAAGATGTACATCTTGTAAGGCCAAAAGGGAGCATCCAATTATCGAGACTGTTATGGCATTTTGGAAAAGGTAGGCAAAATCAAACGTGCTTTGAGGTTATGGTCAACACCACCACACAGAGGAGAGGAGCACAATGTCATTCAAAACAACTGACAAAGGAATCTATGCTCACACCTTTTATTTCCTTTTCTCTGTGACCTTCTCATCTTCCCACCCTAATACCAAATGACAAAAAGTTACCTTCATTTACCAATCTGAAGCGCCATCTCTCCTCCTCTCACTTCTCTCTTGGCCCAACCTCCTTTCTTTACTGCACTGTGCTTGCAAAACTAAAACACAACCATATGGCTTTTGGCAGAGCTGACTCCAAGTCCAGTAGGCATTTTGCTAGCCTTGGACATCCATCCTTGGAACAGATGTTAACGCTGCGATGAATTCCCAAGGAGTTTCAGGAGTCACCGAAAAAGGGGGAAGGAGCACATCAGATGGAATAGCAGAACTTCATCTGTTACAACTTAGAAGGATTGCCAAATGCAGCAAACACTTGGAAGTCACCCAACCCAGTCATTCTATTTAAAGCACACATGCCAAAAAAAATAAAAGCAGAGGTTGATGTCTTCATTTTGACAGACGGAAAACTTGTTCTCCCCATTCCCTCTTCACACCCACTATCACACGTTTATTTTAAGTGTTAACACTATCTTCCAGATTTGAAAGTGCAAAGAAAGGAAATGTACTGAGCACTGTACATGAGGATAGGAAGTGTGCAGGCTCCTTACAAAGGATTTTCCAGACGGGCTGCAATGGAAAGAGATTAAACTGGTGGCATCTGAAGGTGTGTGTAAGGTGTCAAGAATCAAAAGGTCCTGCCCCTTTCTCACTAGTATTTATAGGACAGTAAGTCACTATGGACTAAAGAAGTGGGAAGATTCATTCCATTTCATTTTAGTTGAATAATGTGGGTACTATGGTAGGCACACAGGCTTCCTACAAGGCAAGAAGTGGACTTTCAATTGAGCAGCATTGGAAGTAGCACTTCTAGGAGCAGAGCCTTCTAACGTAGGTGCATGGCTTTGCTTTACCGATTTTCTTTCTTTGTTTTTACATCATTGTCAAATTTGACCTTAACAGGGTTAACAGCAGATGTGAACTGAACAGTAATTTCCTGTGCCTGACTTGAGAAATCTGAAAGAAATCTGCTCTTGGAACATCCAGCCTTTCTACACAACCCCAGCATTGGCGCTCAAAATCTCTAATCACTTCTGCAAATCTCGAGCTAACTTCATTTCCTAATGCAGAAACACACTTGCATCACCTGGCAGGAAAGCAAACAAGCTTGATGTCTAATGCACATGCAGTAGCATGTGTTAAGGCCATTCTCCATTCCCAACCAGCAAGTGATACAGCTTTATTACAGCTCTGGCCAGACGTTCTCACCTCTCTGTGCTCAAAATTTTGCACTCTGGAGGCCCCCCCATGCAGCCCATGTTGGTATCTGCTCTGCCTGACCGCTGAAGCCAGCAAGGACACAAGGGCTGCCTGCTCAAACCACAGGGTGGATCCATATGAGAACACACCTGCAATAGAGGGGTTCTAAGTTCTCTTTGCCTTTGCACTACAAATTTTAAATTTTACACAAACCCAGTATTTTCTGCAGGGTTTTTTTTCTACCATTCATGCTGCAAAGTTGGTAAGGGCTGGGAAGGCACGCAGCAGTACAGTTGCAGTGGGCACCGTCACATTCCTCACCTTGAAAACCAAGTAGTTCTCAACTGATCCAGTACATGAAAAATATGGTTTCTGTGGGTAAAAATTCAAGAGGCATGGCTGATGAATGGCAGACGAGGGAAATCAAGCAAGCAGGCTTCATTTAGACCCGTTAGCACTGAGGGGCTGGAGAGGGAGTCAGATTAAATCTCATCTAATTAGAAAGGCATTTAAAGGAAAGATAGTGGGCCTTTTGGGAGATGAAGTGATGGAAAATATATAGCCCAGCTTATTTTCCATGGACTGAATTTACTGATAGCAGAACAACTGCATGATACAGCATCTTCTCTGGGTGTCTTTGAGGAACGGACCAATAAGCTAGCTTTGGTCTGGACACAGAGAGGGGTTGAAGAGGCCAGCACAGAAGCTGGATTCATCCTCATGGAAACACAGGTTTGAGGACTCTGAAGAAATAAAGAAGAAATAAAAGTCAAGCAGGATGTGGTTTCCAATGGAATGCCACAAAAAGTTTGTATATATTATGTAAAACAAAGATATCACATGGGGAAATAGAAAAACTTACTAGTGCTCACATCACCTTGCAAAGTACTTTTTTTTTTAAACAAAAAGCAGACTGAAGAAAAAACAATACAAACCCATTTTTCAGGTAAGGTATGAAAGA